TTTGAGTAAAATGTTGGCGAGGGAATCATGCGCGACTCAAAGGATGAAGAAACTGCTTTGCCAGCTTGTTCGTGCTTTATAGCCCATCAACTTGCACGTTATCTGCACATGAGCCTGCCGGCAATGCGTTTGTAACGTATATTCGTAAACCCCGAAGACCGCCGTAATTACGCGCGCCACGTCGGTGGAGAATGATCGGTGCAGCTGCATACCGCATCTATACATACGTAATTCCGGAACGTGCGCGCCGAATGGCATAAGCCACACAGCGAAGCCGCAAATTACGAAAATATGTCAGTACCGATAATGAGCTTACGTCCTGATGGCTGTGCCACGGCTCAACAGGCATAATTTGCCAAACTCAATGGATAGCACGCTGACACCAGAGCAATATTATTTAATAGATTGGCGACTGATATCCGTCAACGCTCGAAGGGGATCATATAGTCTAGTTAACGCCGTTGTCTCCTATAACTACCCTCGATTTGCATCTGTCCATTTGACGTAGCAATTTGCGCCGTGCTGGCGATAAGACAAAATTAATTGATGCTTCTCGATCTGCTGCGACTATATAGAATTTCGTTTTATTAATTAAACTTACAATTAGTTGTCTCCCAAAAAAAAAAACAAGATAAGAAAATGGAATACAAGTAAAAACTTCCAGTTTTAATCTACCTTTCGCCTGGCTTAATTAATCTTAAAATATTCCAGAACTTTGAAACTTTAATTATTATATCATCGCGGATAATTATATTGTCACTGACAAATTGTGTAACGTGTCAATATTCCATTCTGTGTGAAAAGATTAAAGCGGGAAAAGCAGTCGCGTATCTAAGGAAAATATCTTATTTAAATTTAAATGCGTTTCAATAACTAGAACGTAGTCAGTAGGAGTAATATAACTTTTCAGTAATTTCGAATTACACGTTCCTTTATCTCAACATCATAGTTACTTTATTTACTCGAACGTATCCCGAGGAGTACTGTTAGCCACGAAGTTTGCCTTGAATAAATACAAGGGAAGGAATATTAGAAAAGTTGCGACCATTTATAATGTCGCCGATTTAAGTATTCCCTCGTCTTCGCCTCCGGCGCCTTAGTAATTACACGCGACAGTCTTCTTTTTCCTGGATTTTTTTTCTGGATTAATAAAGTTCTACATTTTAAGAATGTCGCGGTCGCGTATGCGGATGAAGTTTTTAAGAGGATAATGTTCGGTGGAGATGTGGATAAACGCCGAAGATTCTTCCGCGCCAAGAAGGGAACTCTCAAAAGGTTTAGCGAAATTGAATCCGTGGCGCAGAAGTGTGCAAATACTCTTGCTTCTCGTTGCATCATAATAGCGAACGAGCAAAAATGAAAACTTTGAGCAGCACGTGCTCGCTCGAACGATCAGAAAATCTAGCTATTCTGAACAAAATAGCTATATCGTCAGCTTAGCGTATCTACAGTGTTGCTTCGTATAGAAGATATACGAGCAATATAATTTTAAACATGCTCGCATTGGAAATAAAAACTCATTAAATTTATGATATTGATTTTAGGAGTACGAATATTTACGCAATGTTAATTATCTGATTATTGATCGACGATTTATTTAAATTACGTTCTTGCAAAATTATTTTTATTAAAATTTTGCATGAATTAAAATATTAATACGTAATATATTTTCTTTCCTGATAAAGATAAAATGTTTCTTTTAAAGAATATATTAATCGTTTGACATAGATAATGGAGAATGTACGAATTTTGTGACTCGTTGTAATTTAATCCTTTAGCAACCAAAATGTAAAAATGTGGAAAATATTCTTTAAAAATATATACTTATAGAGAAAGAGGGAGAGAAAAAGAGAGAAAGAATGTTTTAACAAAAATCTTACGAAACGTGATCCATAGTGGATTTTTCCAAATAAACATCTCCCGCCCCATGAAAATAATGGAACATTAATACAAATAGAAACGAGACGTATTAAGAGAAAGAAGAGATCACGTTGATTTTGCACGTGGATTCCCTTACTTTCTTCTTTATCATTCTTAATACTAAAGCGCTAACGAGTAAGTTTCCGCTGCTATTTTTCCCATCAATCTCTTATTAGTTTTGATAAGGAAAAAAAACGGAAAACACAAACTGAACTTTATTACGTTGACTTCCCATCAATTGATCGAGCACATTTGATAACTGCAATAATTTCCATTTTCTTTCTTGCGATCGTCATTGTGTAAAAGGACTTGAAAAGGATTTGCTTGAACACTTGCAAAATTCAACGTTGACAGTATTTGATTGAGCAGAATTTCATTACGTCGAAACAAATGTATCCAATAATCGATCTTATTGCAAACTGAATTGAGTTTCAATGACGCGTGTCACTGTAATTTCTCGAGAGAAAGAAAAAAAGTTGTTAAGGTTAATTGAAATTAATCTCATTTCAGAGAACAGCATAAGCGTTACATCATTTATTATCTTATTCGTTTCATCACGAAACTCATTAAAACATCAAATGTCCTAAATGTCGATTCTATAAAATTGAATTATTACAGTGACACAATATAGACAAAAACGAAATGCGTAAACAGAGTTAAAACAGAGAAGAGTTAATAAATATATAAAATCGAAACAAAATATCAATTAAATCTTTTTACAAATAAAAACATGGATTTAATGAAATATGTTTGACATATAAATATGATATACTTTAATAGTATTTTTCAGTCTCTCTAGTTTATTAGATAATGTTTTAGTTGAAGATAAAGTAATTCTAAAAATGTTGATCTTATACCTACTTTTATTTCGCAAATGTAACTAAATCAGATAGATGAACTCACTTGAATCTGATTCAAAATAATGTCGAATAATAAATAATAACTAATAATAAAGAACTAATTTAAAATAACGTTAAAAAGATTTACATTTATCTTAAAAAAAGCAAATATTCATAATATTCCAAGCATTTAAACATATTAAACTATTAATATTTTTAAAATGGAATGCTGGGAAAAGTTAAAAGTTTTTACTTATTTTCTTTATGTCTTATTTTACAGATAATGGAGTTTTAACTAAATTAATATTATAAAATTCTCTATATACAAAAATATTTTTTCGGGATTTTATATTTCTATTTTCTTTCCATGTTGAAGGAAAGGGAAGAGAAGATAAATAAAACCCATAAACTTCCCGCCTCGTTTGCTCTTCCTACATGGCAGATGTGTTTCTCTGATTCGGGAAAACTTTCTTCATATTTTCGGATATCGCGATACATAACGCTTCAGTACTACCGAAGGGATGTCATTTGTTACAAGGAGAAAAAAAGAGGCATTAGTAATATCGAGGGGACGTGACGTGATTAGACGAATATCGCCCATCCGACGTCTGTTTGTACGCGAGCGGCGAATTAACGACTTCAATTTTGTCAGCCGTGTCCGGGAAAGCCGTGCGGGAATTTTCGGGCATTATTATGTAAATCGTTATGCTGATGCCAGCAGAAATCGGTTAACGGCCGTGAAGGTAGGGTCTAATAATTAGGTTTTCAACACACGTAGAATGTCGCGCGATATTACAGAATGATTAATGAAATTTATTATTTTGTCATCTGCGGATAAATGCGCGGTCGCATTTGTAATATAATAACCCTATAAAGCGGAGCAAACGAACGCGCTCACAGATAATTTCACGTTTGCCGCAGGAAATTGCGAAATATTGTTTTCGTATTCTGAATATGACATCTTAAAAAGCGTTAAATTAAATGCACTTAATGAAATTTAACGTAGTAAAATTAAACATAAGAAATTTTACGTGTTAAAAATATATGTGATGAAACTTGCCGAATATTAAACGCATCTCTGGATAATTTGCTGTAGATTTTTATTTATTATAAATGTATAAGAAACAGCAGAATATTTTACCGTTTATTTCAAAATTTTCGTGGATTGTAAAATATACATGCTGCGATATTGAACTAATTTGGACGTGTCTATTATAAATGTTTCTTTTACAGTATATTCTTCGGTAAAGCAGAAAGATAGGTACACGAGATTCGCGTTTTCTTATAGTTTATAGATATGTTACTATGCTAATCATATGATAGTAGTGTATCTGGCATTATATCTTATGTTTCTTCTCAGTTTTGCAGGCTTGTATAAAATACCCGAAGTTTCCCAAAACGGGATCTACTTCTAAAAACGAGTGCAAAACGAAACGAGTTCTACAAGGTTTTGCTCCCTCATTTCACCGACAAGATAGTGCTTGAACAAATCCGCGTCGCGGGTAGCTGAGAAAGTCTGCCGTTAAGCTCCTTTTCCATTTCTATCTCGGGAGAATCGTATAAACGATGTTACCGTTCCCACAGCAGCCATTCAACAATAACAAAACTTTTATTTTGCGGAAAATAGTAATACAAAGATAAATTTGCACTGGTGTTACAGTAATTAAATATGTAGTAGATTAAACGAAGTGGAATCTAATTATAAGTGTTATTTTAAATTTTATTTTAAGCTATAAAATCCGATTAAAGCAATATTCGTATATATTCGTTAATAATTAATATAGATTTATAAATATCTGACGTAAGTTATACCATGAAAACGCAGTATATAGCATGCGATAATTCCCGACAGATTGCACTTACTGAAATGCCGGTATTAAAAATATACCAGCATTGTTGATATACGTCGAATGCGCTTCGTGTAGCAGGAATTCGACGGATAACGCGTAGGTATACGAATGCAGGAGAATCCCGAGAAACACTAATGATGCGAATAATTATCCTAATATCGCTCAGAGATGCTGAAGATTCTCTCAACACTTAAGATAGGCGGATTGCGAAATTCATCCCTCTCACTCGGTTTACCCGATTTTAATTAGCTTGAAAAAGAATCAACGAAGCGTGATTCTTTTTGCGGGAAATTAATAGTACATATTTACAATTGTAAACATGTTTACAATTAACAATGCAATGCAAAAATTCTGACATTGATTTTAATTTGCTATTGTTTTTCTGTTACAGAATCAATTATCAGACGTCAACGCCGAGTTTTTGATCCTAACGCGAGACATAAATGAAAAGGAGCAAAAGCTACTAATTACGCGAAGTATATATTGCAAGTATAATTATATTGTTTATTCGAGCCCTATACTTTTTATTTGTAATTCTGTTTTACTGTAATTTATATCATGAACTTTACATCTTCTCTTATTGGTTATTTAAAAAAAAACTGAGCTTTATGCAACCTTCGTTGTATCTGCTATCCTTTTATAATTAACAATATAATAAGTCAAATACTTTTTGCAAAATCTTGTACATTAATTTGATTTCCAAATTTTTCTCAGTTATATTCTCAGTAATATCAAAATAATTCCGACTTATTGAAAGCGTTAAAACAGAACCGCCCCGTGTCGGCGAAATGTAACGACTGGAAACGTGTCAAGAAAAAGGAAGAACCACGAGGAGAGATCACAACAAATATATATTTCGTGAGGTGCAAAATCTTAGACTTTGGAACACACAGCATCCGTCAAATACTTTTTCGTCAAATTAAGCGAAAGTCAGGAGTATATGATTTATACAATTGTTCATCTGACACGATCTATATGAACTTTTCCGCGCGAGAAGCTTCGGATCAAAATTGCGCGTGGTTGGCGCGGTAATATTTCACCGTGACGCTTAATGAGCTTAACGATTAAGGCCTTATTTCATAAAACAGAACCAGCTGTCGCCGGCACCGGTGTGTTTAGCGACAGTCTTAATCCCTTGGCGACCTCCGAGGAAGCAGTCGAAGGAGAAAAAGGAGGCCGCCGGCAGCCACCTGTGACTCCTGCCGGAAGGGCACGGAAGGGTCTTCTTAATAGGAGGAGAAGAGAGAGCGGTGAATGGAGTGAGATAGAGAGAACGCGAAGGGGTATCTGACTACTAGGATAAATCGCGCAGAAGCGAGGTATGCGCTCTTTTCTTTTCCTTTCATAATCCTTTCGCGGACGTAGGATGCAAGGTGAATTACGACCGCGTCGCGTCGTCGCGACAGCGACGACACGCTTTTTCATCTCGCGCGGCTTGTAAATACCACCGCGCTGACCGACGAAATTTCATTACGCGTCCCATCTTCCCGCGTCCAGCCCACGCGATAGAATTAAACAAAATTAACCCGTATCTTCCCACATAAATTTTCATCGAAAGAGAAATTTTGCATTTAGAGAAGTTGAATGAATCGGAAGGACTTGCGGTAATCGCTGAAACGACATTGTTGTGTCTTTCTGTGTTTTCGGTGATAAATCCTTTAATTAAAAAATATTTTTAAAAATAATTAATTCATAAAAAGATGATATTTTCAAAAGATAACATTTCAAATATATTAATTTGCGAAAATTTTCCTCTGATGAAAATTGAAAGCGCATACAATTCGCATTTAGTCATTGTAGGTACATTAATGCATTTAAATGTAAAACTGCGTGTTTAAATTGTACAATTTCATTAATTATCTTTTAATAACTATTTGAACATAAAATGTAATAACTAGTTGGACGCACAGCCATGCAAATTTTCATCAAAAATAGATTTCGGTACATGTATTTTCCATTACTCGAAATCTCTAATGATGAATGCTAAAGTAATATCTGCATTATTAATTGATATGTAATATGTAAATGTAAAAAAAAAAAAAAATATATATATATATATATGTATATATATCTGAATATAATTAATCTCTTCAATATCTATACAACTTTCTCTACGAGGAAAGATAAGCATGTAGTTGCGTAAATTGGAATTAATATTGTTGTTTATCAATACCTTCACTTAGATATAATAAATTTAAATTTAAAGAACGGATTTATATATATATAGGGAAAAATTTTCCATTAACGAGGGTTTTGCTGGATAATAATGGCAAAAGAGCAGTATTTTTCTTAATCAACAAATGTAACTGTATTATAGCCGTTGCAATTAATTATAATTAAAATCAAACTTTATTAACAATTACGTGCGCGTACTTTGACATTAAAAATTAATAAAGATGAAATAGGAGAAGGCAGAATAAACGATGATAACGAGATAACGCAAGTTGGAAGTAGAACAATAGGGATTGGTTGATAGCCGGAAAAATATTCTTGAGATCGAAATTTAGAACATGGGAGAGATATGTGCCGGTAGTGAGTTTCGTTTCATTACCACGGTATATTCCATGCAATGTATTCATTTCCCATGAGTGTTTCCTGCAAAAGAGACGCAAAAAATCCCCATGGGGCCGCGGGTATCCGTTTGCACATTTCCGCTGAATGAACAGAATTCCGTTTCTGAGCTTCGTCAATTTCCGTTGATAATTTTTAGAGGAGAATATATAATTTTTTTTTTAGTTTAGTTTATCCTTGATAGTTTGATCGCAATTGAAGCAATCAAAAAATTCATAATACACATATCTTGACAAATAAAATTTTTCTGACAATATGACAAAATATTTCGCAGCATTCCAAAGTGCACAAGTTAAATCTTAAATTATAACTGTTCAGCCTTTATTGTAGAAATGTATGCTCGTTGATTTCAAAAGACTTTTTGCTATAATTTACTTCACAGATATTTCTATAATTAAATGATACATCTTCGTAAGCAATACTTTAATATAAACATTGATGTCTTAAACAAAACAGTATTAACTTTACTTTACTGTTCTTTCTGAAGAAAGAAGTCCATTGTATTGTCCACTCTAGTTCCTTTCTCTAGACATTATTGATATTAGATTCCAATATTGAAAAAAAAATACTTTAGTAATTGTAATATATTTCGTTTGCTTACTGACCTAAAAAACTATCGAGACTTTCTGCTTCGATATTTATAACCGACATATCGGATTTCTTAACATAAAGCATGGAAAGCTGTGGCCTCAATAAAAGTCACTGTACTGAACGGAATATTCCAATTAGCTCGGAACGCCCATAGTAATACCATTTACTTCAATTTCCAGTTCACTTAGCGGCCCCAAATGGCGTTACACCGGGTTTCCCCCGTCTCATAATTTGATCTTGCCTTAATGAAATCTCATATTCGGGCGCGTGTAAATAAATAATAAATAGGACAATTTCTCATCTTTCAACAGGAGTTTTTAACTCGAATCGCAGAGCGGGCGAATGGCTGCGATTTCCCCGAGGAAGCTGGGAGTTCCCGCGGGAGCGCAACGTAAGCGGGGTAAGTGATTGGGAAAAGTCGATGACGTGCGACGTCGGTGGAAAAGCGCGATTTCGAAGCGACGTCGATCGGCGCGACTGATCGATCTCGAGGAACTACCACCACCGACTCGTTCCTGACCGCGGTCAGGAATCGCCGCAGGGAATCAAATTAGTATCCTTCGGACGAAGAAGGAGCGCCTTGACGGACGCGGGTGGCGGGAGGGATAAGGCGACCGTATTGGATTTCCAGGAGGTGGACGGGACTCCGATCGACCTTCTCCCAGGTGATGCCTTCCTGAGGCGGCGACACTCTCACGGTCGTCCTCCAGGTCACCAAAGCGCGACCGATCGGAAAGCATGGCCGACCTCGAAAGGATCAGGCTGGTGGTGCTCGGCGGTGCCGGGGTCGGCAAGAGTTCCATTATACGCCGATTACTCGGCCAGGGCTTCAGCGAACGATACCGGCCCACCGTCGAAGACCTGTACTCGCGAGAATGCGTCCTCGGCACTCTGACGCTTAAGGTCGACCTCTTGGATACCGCGGGTAAGACGGATCATTCCTTACGGAAACATACTAGAGAAAGACTACTGTAATTACGAGAGAAGTACACAGAACTATAGTAAATAGTATGGAACTATAGTATAAATAATTGTTACAGTTTTGTGTGCTTTTTTCGCAACCATGATATTAACTCGTTCCACAAGGGATTTCTTGTCATTTCCTGTTTCTCTTTAGGTTGCATATGAAACGGTGATTTTATATTAACAATTTTTAAATAATTTTCGAGGAAACTAGAGACATGTACAAAAATTCAATATAATACTTTTCTCTGGATAAAAGACGGAAGATTTTTAGAAAATGTATATAAAAGTAAAAAAACATTAAAATTTATAAACATATTTTAGGTATAACTTGATTAATTGATAATATTTCACAAAAGCTGAAGCGCATATACTTTTATTTAAAAATTATGTCGTAATAACACAACGTTTCATGTGCTACATTTATGCAACAAATCAACACTTAAGTTAATCAAGTGGATTTTAATTAATTATCTGTTATGTATTTAGATTATAATATAAATCTCAATATAATTACCTTTTATTATCAATTTATTATCTTAATTTAAAATTTCGTGAATCTGCATATAAAAACTTTCCAGCGAGGAAAATAAGCCTCTGCGTGACAAATTAACTCTGTATTTTTCTAACAGCCATTATTTCCTGAAATGTTTTTCTTTTTATTGAACTGCTATGTAGTATGACGAAAAATATTTATCAATCCCAAGAAATATTTAGTCCGATACGTTCAACTAAACATTAGTTGAATTAATTAATTCTTGATTAAAGAAACTAAATAAATTGTTGAAACAACTAATATTTAATTAACTAACTAAGGGCCAGTTTCACCATCCACGGTTAGCTTAACCGACGGTTAAAGTTAGTAGGATTGACCAATAGAAATAAATCCACCCTGCTTTCTATTGGTCAATCCTGCTAACTTTAACCGTCGGTTAAGCTAACCGTGGTTGGTGAAATTGGCCCTAAAATGTTTAATTGAACCTATCGGACTAAATATTTCTTGGAATTAACAATTTTTTTTCTCAGTGTACATACATGCACACATTCTCGATGGTAAAACGGAATACTGAATGTTTTGATTGAAAACGAAGGATCTCGTCGGAATCGTGTATCAAATAAACGTAATTCAGGCATTCGATACAGTTATATATAGGTACCTACAAATGCACTCGTGCATCAAGGCATCCTTAATCTGATAGAGATTGCGCAAGGATACCTACATCCCGATAACTTTTTAGCGAGAGAGCAACGGAGTTTGTACGTACCAGAAAAAGCAGCGAGATAAACGCGCCATATATACGAAGTGACTTTTATTTCGTATGTAATAGAAATTTATCAAGAGCAACAGCATCTTTTTCTCGGTGACATTTGCAAAAATATCACGATATAAATAGTCTAATTTCAACATTATTCTTTTAAATAAAGAGAACTGAAATCAAGTCGTGAACAAGAAGTTACTTTAAATGGGCATTCTCCAAGAATTTACTTTGTACATTACGCGAGGCAATAAGATTTTTTCAGATGTCTTAGGAAGATTTTTCAGTCTCGTAAAGATCCATTAGATCAAATAAGTTTTGCTTTCGTTTCTCCAGGTGACCTGCAGTTTCCCGCAATGAGGCGGTTAAGCATAGCCACCGCCCACGCATTCCTACTCGTGTACTCGATATCGTCATTACCGACGTTCGAATGCGTGAAACGTTGCTTCGAAGAAGTGAGAGAACAACGAACCGACTTTCAGGTACGGCTTATTCAAATTTGTTCGCTCGTGATTTATCTCGTAAAATTTATCGAATATTCAGCAGTTACCTCATCTATAATCTGCGATTTAAACTATAAATTCCTCTATCTCATATTTCGAGCAGCATGAATTGTTCATTTATTACTCTCAATATTTATAACTTTGCACAATAGATGGAAAATCTGATGGAAAAGTATTATTCGATCTTTCCGATTCGATCTCATCGGTTGGACTTTGGAGAAAAGATAGCAACGAAGACGTTATTTTTTTTTTTCAACAGGAAGTACCGATAGTCATCGCCGGAAATAAGCTTGACCTAGCCCCAACGCGAAGGGAAATACCTCTCGAGGACGTGAGCGAGTGGCTGTTTTGCGAATTGCCGAAACTACGCGCTAAGGTGATGGAGTGCTCGGCTAAGGATGACTATAACATTAAGGACGTATTCAGATGTTTCGTCACGCTTTCCCGAATCGTGCCGAAAAATCCTACTGGCGAGGCCGAGCAGTCGGGGCTTAGGAGAAGATGTTCAGCATACGGATCACGCAGGTATTGTAACGCTAACGCTATTTCTTGCGCAAATAAAGCCGTTAATACGTAAAATACATGTATTATAGTACGTAAATATCTTACTTCAAGAATAGATTTTTTTTAACTTACAACTAATTCTTAGAGAAATCAACCACGGCGAAGAGTTATAAATTATTATAAGAAAATGAACAGAGTTTTTCTTTACTTTTTACTTTAATAAATTTCTGATTTGAAGCTTAGCATATTGAAATATTTCATATATACATTAAGAAATATTAAATGTATACATTAAGAAATATTAAGAATTTAAATTGAACTTTCTTCTTTCTTCTTTCTTCTTTCCGAAGAAAAATCAAATTGGTATAATTCATTCTTAATATGAGTTCGCATACATATGTTGCAATTATTCTGCACTTTATAATACTTATACTAATGTCGAACGTGATTGTTTGCATTTCCGGTTTATTTGTTTAAAGGTCGAGTGCTCGTTGCTTAAATACGATGATTAAGTAAAATTTTCGTGTCATCCCTCACAGATTGGACCGTAATCTCAAAAGATACAGTGAATCGCTAAGTCAGGCTTACTTAACCCAGATAGTTGGTACGAGCAGGCTTAAGATGAAGATTGCATCTAACGCAAATAAGAACTGAGAATTGTGAGAGGCACGTTTCGACTTAAATAAAAGATGAGAATATAGATTTAGGGACATAACTTAATAATAAACTATATTAAATTTTTTTCTCCCTTTGAACTTAAAATAGTAAACGTAAGAAAAAATATATAAAATTATGAACGATGGATAAGTCATCCATCAATTACTTATAATTAATAGCTATTTCTATCTGAGAAATGTCGAGTATTTTTACTATTATATAAAAATGTGAAAATTAAATTTTATAGATGTCTAAAATATTTAAGTTTCTTTGATATTGATAAAAATTAATAAAAATTCGAGAAAAATCTTGGCAGATCACGTACGTAATGATAACATGTACTAAACTAGATTGCAACGTGATTTCTTTAAACGACATATACGAAGGTAATTCCAGCCAACAACCACCCGCCATTTGTCGCGTTTCACCTATCAACAGTGTGTATTAACAAAACAGACATCCAATCTAAAAGGTTTTCAATGCACTTCCGCGTCACCAATCGCCATTGTCGAAGTAGATCAAATGTGAACATAATTGTAAAACATTCAATACCGTTTTCAATGTAGTTTCGATATCGTTTCGATTACTCTTGTATATTATTATTGATATTCGATGATACTCGGGCTTGTATCATTTGCATTGCTTGATTCTTTGATTACTTTTATTCGTTACTACATATTGTATTACGATCATTTTATACATACATAATTACACGTGCATTTATATTTTTAATCATTGAGAAAAGAACTTTGCATATCCTGAAAAATTATCATACTAAAAAAAAATTAATTTTATATTGTATCCATATAAATACGTTTTCTCTGAAACTTATCCAGGCTCAAAAAAGTGTCTCAAATTTTATATTTTACAGTGTCTTAACAGGGAGCTGTTCTAACGTTTAAGTAGTTTTTGTTTCCGTTTAATTATAATGCCATTTACGGAACTTGTATAATTAATTGTAATAGTTTAATGGAGTGCTAGAGAGCTATATCACGGTAGATTACTTTCAAAAGTCTTAAGTAATATTTTACATTCCTTTACTTTAAACTTTTTGCTGTCCTTTACTTAAAATCTCTTTTTGGAAAAGTTCCCTTCAGTTATTAATATCAAAAGAGTTATCGATCTTTTATCCAAATTAATAAAAGAGTAGAATATTATGCGGCGGCGAAGGATAACTGCAGGCTGCCGAAAATTCTTAGGAAGGATCGGGGCATATTTTAGCGTTAATCAAGTCTACAACAATTTTCTAACTGCTTTTAACTCTCATTTATTATCTTTTAACGAAAGGCCCGGCAGCCCTAACGGCAGAACCGGCAGTGCGGGTCCTGGAAATTCTCAGCAAGTGGTCGCGGCTCAGGGTTCTAGCGTCGTCGTTACTGAGGAGGTGAAGAGCAAGCCACGTAGTCGCAGCCTGATCAGGCGCACCTCAAGAAAAACGAAGCAGCAGCTTAGGGATGCTCGCTCTGATGACTGCAACATCTCCTAAATCCGCTATTCCCGATAGGGAAACGAGTTTCGTCACGACCAGGAGTTCGCGATTATTGCGAAGCAACGCGACAACGAGCAATCGAGTTCTTTTGATCAAGTGCATTAAGGTAAGACTCGAGCTAGCATTCGCGATTTGCAAGAAAACGAGACGAGAGTAATCTTGCTAAGGCTACATGAATATGGGATTAGCGTTACTCGCCGTCTTAATCCACGGAACTCTGAGAAGGTGAGAAACAAGCGCAACAATGGCTAGTTTCAGAAGCAGTCTAGCTCGAAGCTCGAACAGATATAAATCGTCGACTTCTAAGATTTATACCAGAAAGCATGTGTATCGATAACCGAAGTATTATTATTAAAGCTTAACTTTAAAATTAATTTTTTCTTGGCAAATATTTAATTTACAAAATGTTAAATATCATAATAAAATCTTAAAGATCTTAAATTCTTGGATTAAAATAATATATTTCTTTATATAAAAATTATAAAAAGACTAAATGATTTATTCCATTTATGTTAAGAAAAACACGAATTTAAATTATATCAGCATAAAAGCTTTTTGTTATCAATATACATCTTTCTTGTATGGAACATCCCTTGTACATATACATATATTATCTAATAGAGTGAACGTGAAATTGATGTCTAATGACGGATATGTAATTGTTTTTAACGAATGGATGAATTCTTATATTTCTCCGTGTAAATATTCCTGATTTAAAAGTAAAAAAATTACATTTTTAGGGTATTATATATGCAACATTTTCTTGTGATTATTTTTACACGATTACTTTTACGTGATTATTTTCTCACAAAGTACCCCAAAAAGTATAATAAAGCGTACAAAGAAAACGATGTAAGATTTTAGTATATATGGAAAAGTTTATTTAACAAGAAATACGCGGTTGTTCATATATAAAATCAAGAAAGCACGCATATCGCTTTTCCAATATATACATATATTAGCTCATAATTTCAAAAGAACACATGCACTAATTAATCATATATAACCTGCGAATTTAAAAGCGTTATTTCTCTAAAAAAATTAAATCTCAAAATTCGAGTTTCACTCATCAACTCACAAGATTTAAGAATTTCTTATGATGAACATCTAAGGAATTCGCAATATTGAAATAGAAATGAAAATAAAATGAAAAACGTCAATTTAAAGATATAGCCCTTTGAAAAAATATGCCCTTTTTCATTATAACTTAAGACAAGAAATCGAGATATACTCTTAACTTTTGATATAATTAATTCAAACAACGAATAATTGGCGAACAATTAAGAATTGTTATTCAGAATAATTATCAACAAAAATATTTAACAATATTTTTAATAAAATTGAAATCAGGTACTGTCTTTTAGACACGAAAGTTTCGTAAAAAGAGGTGCGCTGCGCTTAAATACGCTTTACGACCAATTAAAAAGTTCCAGTAGTAAAGACACGTTTAAGTTTAAAATATTTTATTTTGCAATGCATGCGATGCACATCTTTGCGTAAATATTAATTTTGCTCACATTAAAGAAAGTTGCTGTCGCGAGTACTACCGTGGCGTAAAAAGGAATTCATTTGTAAATTATGGAATGCATAATAGTAAAAGCACAAAGTACCTTTTTTGCTACCTCCCTGCTAACTCTATTATCAGATATATGTTTTTCTCTTTGAACGATTATGAAATGATGATGAGCTGTAACTTGTGCAACCTGTATTTTAATATTTTTTCCGAGAACACATTGAAGAGAAAAGACTTCATCCCCGATATTTTTTTCCGAGAACACGTTGAAGAGCTTAAAGACTTCATTCCCGATATTTTTTTTTTCGAGAACACGTTGAAGAGCTTAATTAAAGATTTCATTCCCGATTCCGTATATGTAACAACATTTTGCTTAACATAAATATTAATTAGTACTTTTTGACAAATTCTTAACTTTCACCTTAAATGCTTTGGTAACTTAAAATTATTTTTAAATAAGATTCATGCTCGGAATTATAAAATAATTAATTCTTCATATTACTCTCAAAGTTTTTAATTGCTGTGCTCTAATGATTTTGAAGTTAATATTGATTGTGCACAATTAATCACATGAATTGCAGTCATTGAACGTGTTAATAACCCGAAAGTATACCGCAATATTTAGGAATCATATATTTGTAACCTTTAGAAATTCCAGTAATGCATATACCTACGGGAGATATATCGAAGTACATTATTTTAGATATTTGGATTTAGATAGGATACCAATTATAATGTAATTAAGGACGAATCGATAGAAAGGAATCTCCTCCTTGTTCTATAATATTTTAACGAATCTCAATCGTGTTGCAATTTCTTCAAAGTATTACAATATTTAATAGAACTGTAGTTATAACATTATTATTCTATTATTATTCATTATTTATAATATTTCTGATTTTTTATCCAACATTTCTTTTTAAAATTCTTTTTAAAATTAAATTATCATTATCATTTAAAATAATATTATAAACTATGTATATTATTTCAGCACAAAATAATAACATATATTAACATTATTATTAGCATCTATGCAACTAGATACTCACATTATTTCTGTTATAAATTATTTGTAAATATTTATCCGAAAAAAGACAATAACGAAGAAAACAAATATCGGAATAAAAATGTTATCAGTATGAAAAAGTATTATTACCAAAACTAAACAATCAAAAACAAATGTCTTCTTGTCTCAAAACTAATGACTTTATTCATAAAGCTCAGAAAATATTACGTATGTCGACATAGAATTATTTACAGTACGCTTTTGTAGAGAGAATACACATTTTACCTCAAAAGAAATCAAAAGTAGTACAGAAAACGTATTGAAAGAAAATGTCAATATTTTGTACATGCAATTGTGCGGTAAGGAGAGATCTATCTACGTATAAAATAGAACAGGAAGGAGACTCATATGCCATCGTAACTGAACCGATGCACAAAGGGGATTGAAGAAATACCACAAACTAAAACAGCTATTGTAACGGTACTGAAATACGTGAAATACCTTGAATATATATCATAACGCGTAGATCCTAAAAACATGTGACATAACGTCACATAATTAAGTAACTGTAAAAACTAAGGTAGCGAGGCGTATAGGAATATTTCATACCAGAGATGTCCGCGTGAAATATTCGCACATACATTTGAGAGTTCTATCATATAGTCATTACATAGTCTCGTTAATTCGCGGTTGTAATAATGAGGAATGCATTCCCCAAAAAATTTTTTAGTAATATTTCGTATCTTGTTTTATGGATCGTAAAAGTAGGTTATGCTTAAATACATATATTTCATCGAATAAGTTTATTTGAGAATATAATCGTAAAATAGATAAAGAAAATCAAGTGTCTCGATAATATTAGCTCAAATATGGTTAGAAATTTTTAAGCACAACTTGTATTTTATGGATAAAAATCAGAAAACTTTCCGCTGACAACAAAATGTGAATTAATTTAATTTGTCTTGCGATAAATTAAATAGAAGTTAGTGCAAAGAAAACTTATGTACGCAAACATTATATTACAGAGTGTCTTTTGTGTAATAATAATCGGAGAGATTAAACTTTCAAGTTTTTTTTTTAACTCTGATCATAGAATAGGCATACATTTTCTTTAAAAATAAAAAAAAGTTTGTGACAAACTGACGACTTAAATAAAAACAATGACGAACAACTGTCAATCGTAAAATTAAATATAAGTATAATGGCCTAGTTTTCGCCGATCATTTGATTTTGATACGCGTATTAAATAATAAATAACGTATTAAATAGTAAATTAGTTTGATTACTGGCTAATCAGCTCAAATATACTATTTGATACGCGTATCAAGAGATCGGTGTAAACTAGGCCATTGAATTGCAATTATAATAAGATTTTTGCAAAGTGATAATTTTATTATAATCACAATTTGTCATATTCTAATTTTTATATCCACGTTAATTGGCATGTTGTTTGTTTTAATATTTTCAGCATTATTTTAACGTTATAATTCACGCTTGAAAGTTTAAGCTATTTAAAAGATAAGAACGAAACAAATCTCAATGAATTTAAATGGAGATTAAAGCAAGACAAAGACACAGACTAAAAAAAAAGGATCAATCGCCGCTCTGTTAAGTAATGCGACTAGATTACGAATATTAATAACCGTCCCATTAAGATATTTTTCACGCGACCAAGGGGAAATTATAAAGGTGAAAGGTATGCTCAGTGAGGTGAACTGAGATCGCGAGATGTTCCCGAGGTAAGTTCATTGTTAAAAAAAGGTCATAAGAATATGTTTGACGCGAGCACCTCGCGAACGTTCCGTGCGAATGTATGCGTGAAATTTTGTAATTTGACATTTTAATGCGAGAGAGCAGTGTATTTCTATCAGTTCTATATTGTTTGTACAAATGTGGGTGTAGTGTATCGTCGATAAACGTGCAAAAGTTTAAAAGAAATATACAATCAATTTCTGAAAACAGCCAAGATATTGGTATGTTTCATTGAATTCATTTGCACATATTTAAAAGAATGTGTGAAAGAGTTCATTGTGACATTTGTATTACTTGTAATATGCATTAGAAGGAAGTAGAAATCTTTGCAATATTCCTTATTATAAAACATCAAAATCTGAATGTAATTCTGCGACGAGCAATGTAAACTTTTATTAAAATTATAATTGAAAGTATTAGATTTTAACGCTATATTTTTTTATTTTTATGTTTGATATTAACATATTAAATTTCACAAAGTTGAATTTTCCGATACTGCAGTTACAACAAAAAATATATGCATATCGTGTAACGTATATAAATATTGCAGAAATGCATTAAATTTTTAAACAAGCACGTTTCTTTCTATGCTGAGAAAATAAGAAATGTATTTCTTGAAATCTCAGAAAATATCTCTTACAATAATTTAACGAATTGAAAGAAGTGTACACGTGAAGAAAAATGTATACCATACGGTCGCGGAAAAATTGTAATAGAATAAAAAAGCAATTATTTAGATAGAAAAATCAGATAGATTTCAAAAGTTTAAACGGTTCAGCATAGTTTTAGTTACATCGAGTAAATTTTGCACGCTCGTCGACGATAACACAAACGCAATTTCGTTGCGCGGCTATTGTGGCGAACATTCTCTCCTGTGTCCATGAAATTTGACGCGACTCTCAACGGGATTTCTTGAGATAGACCCTACCTGTCGAACTTTACTTGTACTTTATAAAGCTCCCTTCAGCTCATGATTTACGCGACACGTATATCTAAATAACGATCGATCTAAACTCAATCCTCAACTAAATAGATAAATACTAAATGGACCAAAGTCTATCGGAACTTGGATGCTGACTCGATAAAGACTATTATCTCGCTTTGGCGCTGAATTTAAGAAATTGTAATAAGGTAGCTTT